TGAAGATCAAGGCCAAGCTCAGCGACATCGTCAGCACCCAGAAAGTCTGGCTGCCYGGCACCTGAGCCCCTGCACCGCTCCYCCGCCTCTTCCTCCTCTTYCTCCTCCTCCTCTTCCTCCTGGCTGGGCTCTGGCAGCACCACCCAAACGCTGTGAAGGTGCCCAGCCCCCTGTTTTAGGTTTTGAAGGTTCAATAAAGCCCTGGGGGCACACGAAGCGAGGCTGGYGCTGCAGTGGGGTTTTCTCTCCCAAACCTACAGACGGTGCAGCTTTGCTCAGCCAGGGTGAATCCCGCTATGGGGTCTGTGCTGAGCCCTGCAGCCCTAAACCAGCCCTAAACCAGCCCCAAGGTTTGGGAGCTGACCCCCCCTGCCCCCCATCCCTGCCCTGTCTCAGGGCAGCGGCTGCCCTCATTTCCCAACCTCTCTAATTGCTTTTCGGAAGGACTAACGAGCCCAAGAGCTGCCAGGGGTTGTTAGCGCTGGAGCGAGAGAGGAGAGCCAGGGATTAACCCCATCCCCCCAAAAAAAGAGCATCCCCCCCAAAAAAAAAACCCACCCCGGGGTGCAAACCCTGAGATATCCCCACAATTTCTCCCTAAAGCTGCATCGCTATTTAATTACTGGGCTAAAAAAACGTGCTTTTTACTTGTTTACCCCTTCTTAATTTTTTTTTTTTTTTTAATATCCCTTTCCCCAGCCTTTTTGTTTCCCTGGTGGGAACCCCCCTTGGGCGAAGCAATTAGCGGCGATTTTTTAATTGCATATTTATATTGCAGCTGGGGAGCGAGACCCCGGCAGCGGGCGAGGGGAAAGCAGGAAGACGCCGCGCTCCGACCTTGTTTGCTTTTCAGCCGGGATTAAGCGCTTTTAATTGTCCCAGAGATCACAGATTGCGGCCAGGGGGGATAATTAGGCTGAATACAGGGTTTTCTGGTTCATTCCCCCCAGGAATTTATATTTCTAAGGGCATAAAAAAGAAAATCTTTGGGAATGCCTCGGGAGTGGAGGGTTGTGGAGGGGCACGAGGCCGGACACAACTCGTTGCATGAGCRGGTCTCGCTGTCAAAACAAATTAATTTTTCACCTGTTACCTGCTGTAAATGGGATCTTTTGGGGGGTCACGGGSACGTCCCCTCTTCCCCGGGATATCTTGGGGGAGGTTGGACCCCGCTTGTGCCCCACCCGTTAACYGGGCTCCATTCCCATGGGAATTACTTCCCACCCTAATTTTTAGGGTTCTTTGGATTTTTTTTTTAACTCTGCAGAGGGGATTATTTTCCGCTTTCGGGGTCTGCGGGGGAAATTCGAGGGGGATAAAAGGTTTGTGTTCCTATGTGGCCGGGTGAGGGGGGGCTGCGCCGAGCGGGGCCCTGAAAGCGCCCTTTGTGYGGCCCCGCCGGGGACCCGGCGCGCTCGGAGGCACCGGAGCGTGGCAAATCCTAAAACCAACAGCACGGAGGGGCGGGCGGCCGGGGCTTCTGCCCCCTCCTCATCCCAAAACCACGGCGGGGTCTGCTGGCCCTTGGCCTCATCATGGGGTTTGGGATGCAGAGTTTGGGATGCGGGGTTTGGGATGCGGGGTTTGGGATGTGGGGTTTGGGATGTGGAGTTTGGGATGCGGAGTTTGGGATACGGAGTTTGGGATGCCGAGTTTGGGATGCCGAGTTTGAGGAGTTTGGGATGCAGAGTTTGGGATGCGGAGTTTGGGATGCGGAGTTTGGGATGCAGAGTTTGCGATGCGGAGTTTGGGACGTGGAGTTTGGGATGCGGGGTTTGGGATGCGGRGTTTGGGATGCCGAGTTTGGGATGCGGGGTTTGGGATGCGGAGTTTGGGATGCAGAGTTTGGGATGCCGAGTTTGGGATGC